AAGATTATTTGTGTGACGCAGTAAACTTAAATCTTGCACAGATGTCCCATTTAAAATAACACTAAACTACTGGAGAAATGTGACCCTTCATTGCCATATTTGTCATATACTGGATTTGCTTCGCAGGTTGAGTGATTTTTGTACTTTTTGCCTATTTAATGCCTTGTGGTCCACTTTCCCAGCAATGAGGTGAACCTTTGGAAGGGAAGGAATCCACTGTGTCCAATTCATACCAATTGAAGAAACAGTTGGACAGGTATTTAATACAATACCAGAAAAAATAACTGGTGAAAATCCAGTTACTGAGCAGATTCATTGATTTAATGAGGACAAACTAAATAAAATGTAACATATTATTTCATCAAAGTGGTAAAGACTTGGTATAAGAATATAATAATAAGGATCCTTGCATTTGCTATAGGGCCTTATCACGTCATTGAGACGTCTTAAAGAACTTTGCAGGATATACTGTAAAGTGATGTAACTGTGTGTATTTTGTGGGCGAATGTGGCAGTCAATTTGAGCACAGCAATGCCCCACAAACAGCCATGAGTTAACGACCAATTTTATTTGGAAGATTGTTGGTCAGGACACCAGGAGAAAGAGCTCAGTGAATCTAGGCATCAAATAAAGCACACAATTCACACAGATTCCAACTTCTACCTGCCATTCATCATATGCCCATTGGATTTGGGCTGCCAAAATGTTGATGCTGCATTTTATGCTTCTTTAAGGGGCTTTCTATAAGACCCCTTCATTCACCTCTTTATTATCTTCTCTTATAATATTATATCAGTTTGATATTATGCACTCTCCTTTAATCATGCATATGTGATAGAGCAGAAGATGTATTACATAGAAGCTTTCCATTCAGTGCATTTGTTGATGGGAGTGTTGTTACAAAGGGAATGGTTGTTGTTTTGTCCACAATTTTCCACAGCACTGGGACTGAGGGGAAGCAGTTGCCACTAGTTTAAAAATGCATTACATTCAGGATGCCCATTTAGAGATTGAAAACATTTACTCGGAATAGGTGTTCAAAACATCAGAGAGTTGAAAAATGCAGCCCAAGCTACAGAGGATATTTCTTCCACAGGATCATATCCTTGCAGGGCAGATAGATATTAACTGAATTTTTCATTCACTTTGTGGTCAATTAAGCTTCCGAGGGAGAACATTAATTAAGTTCTGCCCAAACAGCTGCAGGCTTGTTAAATCCACCCAACCTCAATTCAAAGCGGTCGTTGCTTTTAACCATAAAGTTGTTCCGAGTGAGCACAGAGAAAAAACAGCTTCATCTCTTAATGCAATTCTCATTAAGAGAATAAACCTTCTGATCATCCTGACGAGCTGGTACCTCTGACGTGGCTGAAATAGGTTTAAACCATGGTCTGCTCCTGTTCAGATGAACTTGAAAGACCCCATGGGGCTATTCGAAAAGAGCGGCGGTTTCTCCACAGTGTCTTGGCCAGCAATCCTCCCGATAAAACATTGGTCATTCACCCATGGCTGTTTGTGGGACATTGCTGGGTGAACGTTGGCTGCTGAACTCTCCCACAAAATGCACAGTCACTCCACTCTATAGCATTTATCCACAAAACACTTTCAAACATTTTGACGTTGTAGGGCCAAATGAAAGGATTATTACTTTTTACTGTTATAAATAATTACTTAAAAGCAAAACACATAATGGAGAATATTCTTAATTAAAAATGAAATGGGCGATCAATTAATCTGGAGGATTATTGGCCAGGGCACTTGGAGAAATTCCCTTCTTTTAGTGAATAATGTCATGGCTTCTTCAACACCAGAAACATAATAATAAAGAGCAGAAGAAGCTATTCGACAGTTCTTCAGAATGCTATCCAGTGTGAAGGGCACCATAGAAATGCAAGTTGTGATAATAGTTCACAAACTCTCCAACACATTATCCAGTGAAAGGTCAGTTAGTGTTATCGAGTGCTAGTTTTGCTTTCAATACTGATGCTCTGGATGGTTGCCTTTACCTCCCAGAACTGTGGAGACTCCTGTATTACGTAGGGTGGTGTGTATTGACTGAGTTTATGCAAGGGGACAAGAAATGAGATGGGCTGCAATGACCCTGGAGGTTGAAGAGTCTGCTATCAGTCACTCTCTAACCTCAGTTATGAAGAACAGTCTCTTGGTCAACGATGCTTGTCCTTTAGGATTATCCTGGCATTCATCATTTGCTTTGGGAATGTTAAGAGCAAAATTGGGAATAAACATGTCTATTATGTAGAAACATTTCAGTTCAAGTAATAAGAACAAGCAATTCCTTCTGAATTAATGAACTGCAAGTGGTTCCACTGGCTCCAGGGTTGAATATATATAATAGTACAATACTGTGCTGTAATCCTCAATCAGTATTTGACTGCTGAACCTAAATATGAATTGTATTTGTTCAAATTGTGTTGCGGTTCTCGTGCTCTGTACACAGAGGGCAGTGTGGTACTGTGGCTGACTGTGGCTGAAATAGGGTTAAATCGAGGTCTGTGCCTCTTCAGGTGGATGGTAAAGACCTATTCGAAAAAGAGAAGGGAGTTTCCTTGCTAAATCACTCTCTCTTATTATTTCCCCATTCTCCATAATGTTTTTGTCTTGTGAAAAATAATTCAGCACCATCTAGATCTATGGGATGTGATATTAGTAGGGTCCTCAAGAACTGCTGAATTAACAATGAGGTTTCGGGGATTCAGATTGCACTTCACTAGTGCAAGGTGTGAATCGCACACTTCGTGCAACCCACATGTGTTATTTTGCCACTGCCAAGCCCCACTCTTTATAGTTTCAAATTGAGCTATTAGTTTTCGAGAGCGCTGGCAACAGTGTAATTGTTTTGGATTGCAATCTGGAACCCAACTCCAACAGCAAAAGCTTGTGGCCTTTATCATGTGTTTGAGCCCAAAATGAGGCTGCAGCCTTGAAAATACTCCTAGGTTTGTGCGTGTGTGCGTTTTTTATATGATTTTGAAGTACACACTGTGCAGTTTGCAGTGCTTAAATTGTTAGTGATCAATGCACCTAGTTAATCATCCTGGTTATATCACACAAAGCTGTCGTTCGTACTTGTGAGAGATGCCGGCTTAGTCATTGGCAAGAGCCCTTCAATTTCACCAACTGCGTTGACCGCTCACAGACGTACACAGCACAACTAAGTGAAATTACGTTTCTCATGGTGCACAGATCCTAGCTTTTTAATCCCCGTTCCCCCAGTTGGCCACCAAGAGAGTAACTGGCTGCAAAAGCTGAGTTCTCCCTTCATCACACCAGCAAAATAAATGCTGTAGCTGTATCTGGTGTATCTAATGCTATGGAATTCTACCATGAAACAATACAGCTTGAATAAGTGTTTTGAGGGCCATCAGAATTGCTTTGACAACTTTCAGCAGTCAATTTTGAAATTATCCCCAAATATTTTACTTTTTCTGCTTCCTATGAGAAAATCATCATATCCGAGTTTAATAATTGTGACCTATTTTAGACTCATTTTCCCTAAAGGTGTATGAATTTTACACTTTGAATTCTCGTTGTTGTTACCACCTGGAAGGGTGGTTGAAGCCTGCACCCTGTTCTTTTGCAAACCAGCTTGATTTTATAATGGGAAGAATGTATGTTGGGATCAAATGGGCCGAAGGGTCTCTTCATACAAGAGTCTCCGTGCCTTCAGCTCCCTTCTCGACTCTCTACCCCCTCCTCGCTCCCTCCCTTCCCTCCCCTCACCCTGACCATTTCCCCCCTGCTCGGGTCCTGACCCAACTGTCCAACACCTTGGGACGTCCTCCCGAAACGAAATCTTGTTGTTGTTGTTGTTGTTAATTCCTGTTTATGTCCTTCGTGATTGAATTGCGTTATGTATATATATTCCCAAACCAGCTGTGGCTTCCTGCCACTCAGCAAACATAATGCCTTGGAAAATCTCCTTTAAAAATATATATATTTTTAGATTTCTGACGTCCTTTACATAAAGCAGCATTTCCCTTTTCCCATGGATTGCTGAAATGCCACACTGTCAAAACAAGCTTTCAGCTGCTAATAGTTTCCAGATTTACCCTGGTTTGTACTTGTGTATATTTAACAAAAATACACATATATATATATAAACTAGCTGCGCATTTGACAATGACTTGAGAATTGAAAAATGCTTTCCAATTTGCTGTGCGTACGAGATGCACTTACGACTACAAGCAGACTTTGAGATCATTAATGCTTTCTTTTTCTGGTGTTATTTCGGGATCGACAACCAGATTACATCACAAGGTTACAAGGATAATCTTGCACGAACTGTAATACGAAAAAACAATTTAATCCTCTGGTGTGAGATAAACCTTCACTGTCTTCATAAATTTATACAAAAAAGAAGCAGATTGGAGAAAGCTTTGAAGTCTTCTTGCTTTTCTGAAGGGGGGCGGGTGGCACTGAATAATAGACATGGGACATGGTACTACTGGAGGACAAATTAGCTGATATAGTAATAAAGTATGAGCACAGATTTGCGGAAGAATCAAAATAATGAATATTTCAGTTCTGCTTCCTGCTACTATTTTTCGGGGTGGGAGGGAGGGAGGGGGAAGAGTTTTGCTTTAGTTGGAATGAAAACATCTCCATCCTCTGACAGGGCTCTCCTTTCCCCTCCAATTCTCAATCACATCCAGTTCATAGCAGAGGAACATCAAGAAACAATAACAGGAGGAAGCCATTCAGCCCACCTAGCCTGTTTTTGGCAGATCTTTTCAACCCAATGTCCAACCTTTTCCTATACCCTTGAATACATCTATCACCCTGTATATGTCTCTTTTAAACATTTCTATTAATTCCCCCTCTACAGCTTTCTGGGGCAGAGCATTCCAGTGGAACCAATTGAAATTTACTTACATGCAGAGGAAGGCCACTTGGCCCATTTTCACAACACTTTGTGTGAAGAAGCACAAACAAAATCAACAAGAAAATACTTAAAGCGAAATGATGTCTGAAATCTACTTTTATTTTCTGCTATTTGCTTTTTAATGGATATCCATGAGGTTTAAGAAGTTTAGAAGTCTGTGATACGACGGAAAGCACCAACTGTGGCTCCGCTTGCTCCCCAATCACTGAATCGCTTGTATTCCCCAGGTCTAAGGAAGTACTGTTTGCCTTTGTAGTTGGGATGTTCGTAGAAGGTCCAGTAGCCATCCATTACATGGCAGGAGTGGATGTCGTGGTGGCGGAATCGTTCGTACACAGATGGGCAGTCATCCAGAAACTCCATCATGGACCCTCCCAATTCAGCTCTCTCGTAAACCTTTATTTTGTACGATGCCCCGCTAGTCTGTGAAATGAAGCAAAGTGTTTTCACTTAATATAAAATATGATACATTATCCTCCCCACTGGCACTCGAGGCCACAGCATTGTTCTCTGAAGGTCACAGAGGATGGATGTACTGTTTTTTTGTTGCCTATTCAACTTAACTACCTAACTCTTAAACCACATCATTAAAGAATTCCATTTTCCCTAGCCTTCTCCCATCCACCCCAAACCTACTAACTGACACTGGGTTTTGGTTCCATCAGGGCCATTGGTTCTCTGATACCCAGTCAAGTGGCTATTCAGGTTAGAGTCAATGTGAGCTAAGATCGTGAATGTCATGGCCTTTTCGACTTTTCGAATGTCGTCACAGCCAAATCCAACCCTGTTCTCATCCACCATTTGCCAGCAGTGATCACTGGATAACAATGTGAATATTTGGATGAATTTTCCATTCCACAGCCAAGGGAGAGCTGGGACCTAACTCAGAACATACTTTGCATTGAACCTGAGAGGTTCCTGGTTTACAGGGCTTGGTATTGCAACTCTGTGAATCAAAGGGGAATTATTTCCCTATAGTAATGCTCAAAATACATTTTAAGGATACGTTTTGTGTATATTGATTAAGTTAGCTTTGGTTTACACAACAAAGTGCAAACTTTATGGGCAATAATAAAATGTGAACTTAAAGTATTGGCTGGTAAAATAAGGACACATGTGAATAATTATATCAGTTCACTTACATAGTTGTACACCCGGCATGATCTGATGCTATCATTAAAGCCCATCCAGCGCTGGTACTCAGGATACTCTCCCCTGGTCAGCACATACTGGTATCCCATGTAATTGGGTTTCTCGTACAGAACCCAACAGGCACTGTCGAGGCGGATGGAGTTACAGCGGCTGAAGTATGACTGCAGGTCGGCACAGTCAGTGCTGCACTCATAGCGTCGACCCTGGAAGTTCTTGTCCTCGTAGAAGATGACCTGCAGGATTATAAAGCTGTTAGCTAAATTGAAGCACAACCGGATTGAATAGTGAAACACTTCACAGAAAAGGAATGATTCTTACCTTAGCCATTTTGATGACAATCCCTAAGTTGCAGCCGTGTGCCACAGTTAGAAGAGGCAGCCTTTTATACACCAAAAGTTTGTTATTTTATCAAAGAATTCGAAAACTTTTTCCAATTCAGCAGATTCCTCCGTGACATGTCTTGCACTCTTTGCTGGCAAACACTTGACTTATTGATGCATGAAGTACAGACCAAGTACCAGTGTTTGTTCAGTGGATTTAGACATCCACCCACAGACAGTCACCATGAGAGGCTACAAAGGCAACACCGTTTTCTACTTTCATTTAAAATATCAAGCTCACGAATAAATGGAAAATAATTTTGTTTGAAGCTGTTGATTTTCGTTGCACACATTAAACAAAGTAAAACATTGAGGAGGTTTTGAATGCTGATCCTTTTTTGTTTTAAGAATGAAAATTTATTTTTATATTGGATAAGCATGAAGTCACAGTAATTATATCTTTTTGTAGTTTACAGTAATATGTGAAGGATTGTGAACTTTGAACTCTCGATTTTGAGCTCACAGTCTAGGATAACAAACCAATATTGTGTTGGGGGCATGATCCATTGCTGGAGGTGCCTTCTTTCCAATGAAATGTTCAGCCGAGGTCCCATCTGCCTAGTCAGGTGGACGTTAAAGATCCCATAGTACGACTCAAAAAGAGAAGGGAGTTTTTCCTGGTGTCCTGGCCAACAATTGGGCATTCACTTCATTACTGTTTGTGGAACATTACTGTGTGCAAATTGACTGCTGCGTCCACCCACAAAATACTCCGTTTCTACACTTTACAACAAATGCAGTGAAATACGTTGAGACATCCTCCTGCTGCGAAAGGTGTTATAACAAAAGCAAGGATTATTAGAAAGTTACTATTTGGGCTGATTATGATGGACTGATATTGCTATTTACCACTTCAGATGATTGACTGCAACTGGGCCATTCATCAATTGCTGACATGTTGCACAACTGCACAATGAATGACCTTTCGTCACTTTTATATCTAAAAATAAAAAGCGTGAAGTCATTAAAGTTAACAGATGAAAGATAAATCTAATCACTGGCAGCATTTCCTGTACATTTTTATATGCGGTAAATCTTCAGTCACTGAACCATTCATTGAACACTTCTACAAAATGGTTTTGCTGAAAATCCTTACCAGAAGGAACTGCTCAGGACAGAAACTGAAGGTAGGAACGGTTTAAAAGTGCTCGAGAACAGATCGGTTCCCCATTTCCCTTCACCTATTGCTAAATATGACATTTGTTTAGTGTATGATTGATCGCAAAGGCTGCTTTCACACACTTCCTTGCAAACTATTACAGTAAAACAAGAGCAGCAAATTTCAGGAATGTCATTGTTTGTAAATACTGGGTTTTGGCTGAAAGTCCTGAAAGGCCTTATAATCGTTTTCATATATTGTTGCCAAAATGCAGCAGTTACAACAACAACTTGCATTTATATAGCACCTTTCACATGGTAGTGTCTTGGAGCGCTTAATAGTGGCGGAGCCTAATGATAAACCGGGGGGATGGAGGAGATGACCGTAAGCGTGGTTGAAGAGGAAGGTCTTTAGTCGTGATCTAAGGAGGGGGCACGGCAGAATTTAATTGGAAAGCGTTCCAAAGCTTTGGTGCATAGAGGCTGAAAATTTTGAAATTTGCTGTTCTTGTTTTACAGTAATTTTTCCATGTTAATCCTGTCGTCATCCCCAGACCTGCTCTTTCAGCTGACAAGGTTGGGTTGACAACACAAGGGTCAAAGGCATTGACAAAGAGAGTTAAAGATGTTCACTACTAGCACTACACAGCATAATAAATTGATGTTTATTTTAATGTATGTTACAATACGTTTAAAAACATCAAATCAGTCTAGAAGAATTGTCCATACCAAAGTTAGGCAAAGACAGATGCTGAACAACAATTTCTGCTTGAAAATATAGCCATATAATTAGTAATAGTACCCAATTGTGCAGATCGCTGAAACAAATGAAGCCCATTGGCATCTGCCTCTCAGCCTGGACTAATTGGTGTGTGTTGTGTGTGTTACTAGTGACCGGAGAGGTGGATAACAACAAAATCAGCAACTTGTCCCAATGTTGTGCCTTTCTTGTTAAAGATCCTCTCAAAGCTTACTGAATGTTTCTATTACTCCTTTAATATAGTGAGGGACAGCAATTTGCCTAACTCCTGAGTGTCTTATTTGTTGATCTGCAGACACAGTGATTGAGAGTATTCGTACCCATCACTGCCAATGGTGCCCATCAATGTCATTGGTGTGTAATCCTAACTGCTGGACTGTCGATGTAGGTCTTTATGGATTAACTAGCACTGTTCAGTCATAGCCTCCAAGTTAGTATTAGTGAAACGGCTTCTCATGCACTGTTCCTCTACTATGGCCAGGGCAGCTCATTCTATTATGATACATCTGCTGCCTGTCTACAAGCTTTTATCCTCATTACACTGCAGAAATATTTCCTCTCCACTATGATAAACCTGCCAAAATAGCCAATACACCCAAGCTCTTCAGCAGAACACATTTCTATACCATTCACTTTGGTTAAACTCACTAACACAAGATCTAACCCAGAACCATACAAATTTACAGTACAGACATAGGTCATTCACCTATCATGACTATGCTGGTTCTTTTCCACAGCAATCCATTCAGACCCATTTACCTTCCTTTTCCTTATTAACCTTTTCCCCATTTCCCATTAATCTACTTTTCAATGTACCTTCTGCAACTGTGAAATAATTTCCTCCTCATCAGCATGTGACAATGACTTAACAAGCTGAAATGGCCTTTTTTCCTCACTTTTCATTCAAGGTTTTAAATGAGTTTCCTGAAAGGTAATAATAAACATTCAAAAATTCATTCATTAGTGCTAAGGACCAGCAATTTATTAGTACTGTCTCTTGCTTTGATTTTACACGTCTACACGTTTTTGCTAAAAACAGTGAACTCTGGAATGTCAGGCCCTATGTTTAACATGTCCCTCTCATTCATGCCTCAATCAAGAAATTCTATGAAGAAAAACATTTTTAGAACAAAACAGTTTGTACAATATGATTTGAGCCCAGTATAAAAAATGCTATTGCTATCACAAAGGATGACTGAAGAAAATTGACAACTTTTCTAGTGAAGTACATGCTTTTGAAAGTGAACAGGAATTTCAGTTTAAGTCAATCCCAAAGCAGTTTTGTACAGGTTATGCTTTGCATGAAAAATAGAGTTAGAGGTGCTCGACTGATCAAAGGCCTCCACATTCCTTGCAGAAATACGTCTGTTCCATTGATCCATCATAATGAATTGATTTAACATTCCTGGCCGTACAGTACCATGCGTCTTCCAGTACATGTCAGGCCAGACACGAGCAGGTCTATTGTTCTTCTGCCAGTACAATGTAAGGGCTGACATTCTCTTGTCTGGTCAAGCCACAGCTGCTGGCGTTTACTTTGAAGAGGGAGCATGCTTTTCTCCGATGTGCAAAGTAGCATGGCATGCATTGGTGTTTTAGAGGGTTTACTGTGTCAGTGCACACTTTCTTAAGGTTAAGAAAACGCGAAACAGGTTTTGCTGAAACCTTCTGGGCTCTGGATTCCGAAAGGGTTCTGATGCATGAAGGTGAACACAATTAATTCAGTTTTCGATTTGAATTTCAAATAAAATTTTTGATATGTGAGTAACAGACACAGATACTAAACTGAGTCTCAGAACTCAATTTCCTCACGTCCCATTGTCTTTTGTGAACGACATCATGTTACAAAACAAACGCCATACTTTGTTGAACAAAGCCATACTTTGTTGAACAAAGCAGCAGGTGGGGTTCAAAGTGCGAACGGATGCATTTGGGGAGGAATCCATTTCAATCTGGATTTGTTCAGATGTCAGTAGGTGGGCAAATTCGAACCTCTGAACTGCTCGAATATAACGTTAAATGATATGATTAATTCTCCTCTGAGATGGAATCTCCCATGTATTTATATCAATTGCAGTTTCAGAGACTGTCTCTCTCTCTCTCTCTCTCTCTCTCTCTCACTCTTCACTTCTGCTGGGAATAATAAACCTTGCATTTGATATAACACCTTTTACGTCAAGAGGACATCTCAAAGCGCTTCACAGGATTTACTATAAATTGCAGTGACTGTGTATTTTGTAAGCAAATAATATCTGATGTGAAAGTTTTTTCTCAGAAGCAATCCTTTCTCCCTTGACATTGGACCCCATTTTAACACAGTGGATATTATGGAGCTGTCATGCTAGCCATTGTGTTTAATATGTGTTAGTGTATCGACTGTACAGAAGCAAAGCCTTTGCTCCTGCTGTAGGGAAGTTCTATGTGGGTATGTCCTAATAACATAAGTTGACTCCCTCTGCATTTGCATTGTTTGTAATTTACACTGGTGCTCTCACCCAAATGGTTGCAAGGATGGTGTGTGCTGCAAGTGAACATATCACCAATGGTGCAGGAAAGGGTTACTCTATTGAGATAGGCATTAAAGCATGTTGATTGTAGGCTGGTTTCAAAAGAATTCTTGCATTGGAAAACATGCTGAATGTAGAAGATCCGAGCAACGTGTGGGGCGGAACAGATAATTGTGGACAGATGAGTGATCAGAATCAAAGTCCATCATCTGTCCACCTGCAAAACTATTTGTCTCAGATGTATGTCTTTTGTGTGGACCCCGGTCAGTAACATGGAATTGAATCAAGAGCCAAGTCTACTTTTATGTGTTGAATGTTTGATAAAAATCTTCAGTGGTGTTTATTGAAAAATGGAAGTTTGAGACTTTAATACAAATTGTTATACTGTCTTAGTTGGTTGCACTTTAGCCTTTGGGTCAGAAAGTGTGGGTTCAAGCCCCCTATCGGGAATTGAGATTCAATAGTTTCAGCTGACAGCCCAGTGCAGTGCTGGGGAGAGCAGTGCTATGTCAGGTGTGCAAGTTGTTGCAATTACAACAACTACAGTAAATCGATTTTACGTGCTATATGAAGTGCAAGGGTTATTATTACACGTATAACCTCAAAATAATTGTTCCCTCATAACGCTTCCAGTAGATTACATTTTAAACAATGAAATAGCTTTAATTTACTCAGTTTAGTATTCATTTAAATAAACAGAACTCACATCCACCCTTCTGTACTCAAAAACATTCTTTGTGCTTTCATTTTCCCCTCTTTTCATTTACAAATAGACACATTACCTTGCAGTAAGTCCACAGTACATTTCTAGACCCTTGGCCAAGAAGAGCTACTAAATATGACAATATTAACAGTGCTTTTAAAATAAGCACTGTAATTTATACCTATGTGTCACCTTTAATGTAATTAAATTAGCATTTCAAGCGTTGTGCAACAATAAAATACCATTAAGGCTGATTTAAACTTGTCTCCTTGGGGCTATTTTTATCCCTATTCAGATATAAATAGTCTTCGGATTTCTGATCTATTGCCTTGTAAAATCACTTTCTCATTGAATTCAAGGGTGAATCCGATTGAAGCTTATCTCCTTGGGCTTATTTTTTCCACCATTCAGATATAAATAGTCTTTGGATTCCTGATCTATTACCTTGTAAATCACGTTCTCATTAATAATCCGTTCTGTTTTATTTTAAGTAATTTAACAATGCAATTTAGATTGAATGAAAACCTTAACCCAACTGTATAAAGAAGCATCATTATAGTTGTTCAAATATTAATCTTTACTTCACCAGGCACCTAGCACTTAAAAGGATACTGTGATCTTTATTGCTGACAGTATTATTCAATAGGACTGTCCTCTATACTGCTATATGGGAAGATACATTTTGTAGCTTGAGCCAAAGGAGGATTGTATGTGAATGTGTATTAAAGAGCAAGAACACCAGTACTGGAGTAAGACTATCAATGCTACTGATGTGGCCTTGATCTTGTGAGATCACTGGGCTCTTGCACTTTACCTGCTCCCATTTAACTATTCAGCAAAGTAAAGTAAATATTGTAAAAGATTCAATGCGGATTGAATGAACTTTTACACCCCAAAGTGACATCAGTGGGATTTTGTGTATATAGCACACATGTTGAACGCAGAGGAAATGATATCAGCGATGCTTCCTGCACATAACGCTCATGTTCACACTGCACAGTAAGTTACGTAAGAGATGACCGGATGACCAGGAAGGTGGTCATTTTCTGACTCAGGAAGATGGCTAGTAAGTTACTGGAAGCCACCTCCCATAGAGCACAGGGGCACCATATGCCCGTGCTATATGTAAACCAGCACTGCACCTTATAAAAAGTTGTTTTGTAGTAACGCTGATACTCCAATACTCCAGTTAGAGCGCTGCATTGTCAGAGTTGATGTCCTTTGGATGAAACATTAAACCAAGGTCCCGTCTGTTCAGGTGGACTTTAAAGATCCCACAACACTATTCAAAAAGATAAGGAAGTTTCTCCCAGTGTTTAGACCAACAATCCCCCGGATAAAATTGGTCACTTGCTCACTCCATAGCCGTTTGTGGGATATTATCATACCCAAATTAGCTGCTGTGTTTGCCTGCAAATACATAGTCACTAAACTCTACAGTAAAATTCCGTGAAGTGCTTTTAGATGTTTTGATGTTGTGGTGAGGCACTTCGCAAATGCAAGAATAATTATTACTATATTATATTATTTTAGAGCAATTTCAAATTTGAATACTTGCTTAAATGGTATGCATGGCACCATGGATACTTTACCTACTCTTCAGAGAAACGTTGATCCAGGGGTAAACCTAGCTGACAATATCCGTGCTTAACAGAATTCAAATGTATTTTGAAATAAGTATTAAAACTGCATGTGTGTCAACAATAAATATTTTGTGCACAAAGAATCTACTGCACAGAAATTTTGCAGGGAAGACATAAGACTGAATAAAATGAAGTTATATTTTTATTTGTGAATGTTGATGTCGCTCACAAGTTTCTGAGGCTGCTTAGAATTCTCGAACATGCCGGAAAGAGCCGATAGATGGGCAGGTTGCACCCCAGTCGCTGAATCGCCTGTACTCTCCGGGTCTCATGAAGTACTGGCGGCCTCTGTAGTTGGGCTGATCATACATGGTCCAGTAGCCATCCATCACGTTGCAGGAGTGGATGTCACGGTGGTGGAAACGGTCATAGACGGATGGGCAGTCATCCATGAATTCCATCATCTGTCCTCCAAAGTCAGGTCTCTCGTACAGCCTCATCTTGTAAGAGCTGCTGCTGGACTACAGTGTGGAGAAATATTTATTGGAAAGATATTAATATTTTGCTAGAAAACTGAAGAGCCCTCAGTTATATTAAAATATGCTGCAATTAGGAGACCCTTTTTACTTTGTACAGTGCTGGTTATTCATCACTATACAACATTCGGGGTCACATTTTCAATCAACATTATGGGTTTTCCTGTCAAATGTCTAACAGTGATCGACAGTTGCTCAGAAATAGATCACAGGATTCATGAGCCTTTGGATAGATAAGGGTTACATTGCACCACTTCACGTGGAATAATGGAAGAGAAAACACAGCAAGAGGAGCAGAAAATTATAGGCATATTCAAATGTAATTTTTTTGCACTTATTTCCACAGGAATTATTTAAGATAAATAGGATTATTGTGGCGCCTGTAATCTTAAGAATCTTTAATCCTCAGTGAGCTTTCTACAGTTGTATTTAACATTGGTTCAATGAAGCCAGGGTAAAGCCAACGCAAATGAAGCAAATTCAATCAAATTTAGGTTTTTAAGCTGAACAGGTTGAATAGTGCTTTTCTTCCCAAACCCTTACTGATTTTAAGATAAAAAAAGAGCTTAAGCACTGGTGCACTTCCACATTATCCAAGCAGCATTTTGTATTTACGTAGTTGTATGTACGGCATGATCTGATGCTGTCATTGTAGCCCATCCAGCGCTGGTAGTCAGGATACTCTCCCCTGGTCAGAACATACTGGTATCCCATGTAATTGGGTTTCTCATACAGAACCCAGAAGTCACTGTCAACGCGGATAGAGTTACAGCGGCTGAAGTGGGACTGCAGGTCCTCACAGTCGGCACTGCACTCATAGTGCTGTCCCTGGAAGTTCTTGTCCTCGTAAAAGATGATCTGGAAATATAACATTAACAATTTAAACAGTAGCAGTAATTATATATTGATCCTAACAGTCGTGAGGTTTTTCCAGTATTACAAAGAGAGACCTACCTTTCCCATTTTCAGCTTGGATCTCTGGAACTGTGTTCCCTGATAGCCATTACTGTGTTTTAATACATATACAGCAGAGTGCACTGCAGCAAAATACATTGTTATTACAATGAGATAAGTTTTGTGTCAGCACATCGCTCATGCGATTACTCTCTGTTGAAATTCCCTAACTAACCACTGTGCATTGTTAAGCTTTTGTGGTGAAAGCTTTTTAAAGAATCAGATCAAAGTGCACATTTACAGCAAATAACGATAGTCATCAAATTACAGAACAGATTTTAGACAGGAATACTTTGACATTCTGTGTTTAAGTGACAATTATTAACTTTCAAACGCTCCTGCAACTGCCTACAAATTGCATCATCACTCTACTTCACAGTAAACCACCCTCAACTCAGGTGTAAACCTTGGATTGTTCAGCACCTTGGAATGTTTTCCCGACATGAAAGGCAATATAAAAATGTAAATTTGTATTGTATTGTTTACTAATTGTCGAGTACTGTTCTGTCACTGTTTACCTCTAACTGCTAATAGTAATGTGAAAGTTCCATCTTATTGAAGAGCTTACCTTTACACCTCCCTCCCGCATCTCCCGTTTTCCCCTCGCTCTTTCCTCTTCCCCACTTCCACTCTTAATTCCTCCACCTCCACATACATGTATTGTTTGAAAATATATCCACCATAAATAAAACCATTTTGTTTCGATTAGATTTATTCACAAACTGGAAGCAAAAAAAAACCTTCGTACTACCATGGGTTTAGAAATGCACAATATGATCCAAGACACATTCAGTGACTGAATCACTCAGTGAATTGGGGCCTAACGACCATGCCTTAGGAATCAATGTCTGGCTCCTCAGTCGGGCAAGCTCAATACAATGCAATTTTCATTTATAAAGCATATTTTCACTCTGGAAGAATGTCTCAAAGCATTTTACACAGCTGGCTTGGCACCCAAGCTGGGAGGGGAAACTGAAGAGAGAGATGGACGGCTGAGGAGAAGATTAGTGAAAGTGCGGTTAAAGAAGTACATCCAGAGACGGGCTTTGATAATGGGATGAGTAGGCAGGGGCAGAGAGATTCCAGGTCCAGAATGCACATTGCAATTCTGCAACCTTCCCTGTTTGTGAGGGTTTTAACTGCGAAAATCCTGTTTGAGATTTTGTCCGTTGAGTAAAATTGGGTGAGGAATGCAACAAAACATGCAACTGTGAGGCCAATAATTTATTCTATTCATTAGTGTCTAGAAAGATAGAGGGGAATTTCTACTTGAGGTTTGCTCTATTTATGTAATGTTTCAGAGCATCCAGAAATCGGCAACTCGTTGAATTCAGTCTTAACTTTAAGGTGGGTTTTCTGTGGTTCTTCAAAGAATTTCCAGAAAGCTGGCTTCAATCCACTCAGTCACATTTACCTGCTATGTCCTCCTTTCAATTATTCATTTTTAGTTATTTAGATATTAGGTATTTATTTTGCTCTTGAAAGTTTTGATGGATTGTGCCTCAAACATGACACCAGACAGAACATTCTATATCCTAACAACCCTCAATGTGAAAACATTGTCCTAATCTCCCCCTTTGTTATATAATCCTTGCACTTGATATAGCACATCATCACATCTTCGAGACGTCTTAAAGCGCTTCACAGAATATGATGTAAAGTGAATTGACTGTATACTTTGTGGGCGAAACGTGACAGCCAATTGCGCACAGCAGTGTCCCACAAACAGTCGTGGATTGAGTGACCAAATTTTAATTTTTTTAAATCAATTTTTACCCTCCAAAGAAGAGATCCACCAATTGACTAACAATCAGGTTTCTACTTACTGCTAGATAAACAGAGGCGTGCGGAGTAACGAAACTTGCCCAATGTTTCACCCTGCTGGAAATCAAACCCAGGTCTCTCTCTTGTGAGGTGAGCTCTAACCATTAAATTGATGTTCTTTCATCATGGAAACATTGAAACAGTGGAGAAAAGATTTGATTTGAATTTGATCATAGCTGTAAAGAAAACCGACAAGCTACTAACTTTTTTCTAGGTAAAGTACAGACATTGGGAGCCAACTTGCAATGAGGTCTGAGGGAATTCCTTCATAAGGAAAGTGCTATTATATCATGCTGATGTGCACAGCATAATTCTGGAGCTAAGCAAATCTTCTTAGCATTTATATTTCATGCCCTGTTTGGTGATCTGCAATATTTTTGTTTGACTGAGATAACTTTGGTCACTCTGTGACCTCATGATCTCAATATTCTGGAACAAGGCTTTGCAAATGTCATAGTACTTTCTGGATTAGGTGAGCAGGGTGCGTCCCTCCAGGGATAGAGCATGCATTCCATTCCAGACACAGAGCAACACAGGGAAATGCCCATGTGAAAGTGGGATACGTAAGTGGAACTCTCAATCTGGCTTGGATCCACTTAAGGGTGGTGATGCAAATGAAAATGACCCATCAGAGATTAAACGAGAACAGATTTAAGCACAGTCAGTGAACATCTGAAGTTTTATTTTGTTCCAGGTTCAGGAACCTGCTGGTGCATTGAAAGAAAAGAAAGGTCATACTTAAAAAGCATTTTATTCGAAACAGTTTTCTGAGGGTGGGATTGACTGCTGGAATGTGACGGTTTACAGAAATATAAGAAAACGGAAGGAGCCAACATTGGGGGGCACTTGCACCCCACATGCTAAATTGCTTGAATTCCCCAGGTCTCATGAAATACTGTCGGCCTTCGTAATTGGACTGTTCGTAGAAGATCCAGTAACCATCCATCACATGGCAAGAGAGAATATCACGGTAAGGGAAATGGTCAGGGACAGATGGGCATCCATGAATTCCATTATCTGCCCTTCAAAGTCAGGCCTCTCGTAAATCCTCATCCTGTAGTTATCACCTTTGGACTATAATTTGGCAACATATTAGTGAGAAGAAATGGCTTTGTCCGAGGTATATAAATGAGTTAAACAAGAGATGATAAATGATTGACGACGCTTAGTGCTGGGCAGAGTGTTCAAACAGATATTTATTTTCCATCTGAGTATATTTTCCCATTCTTATTTTCGTGCATGACGTTAGCAGCCCGGACCTCTGGAAAAATGTGGGAGGGTTGCTCTTTCGAGGACCAGTGCAGTTGGCGCCATACACATGTAATTTGTTGTTGTTGTTTACTCGAGAAGTGGTGGCCCGATTTTTCTGAACCTGTTGTCTGCTTCTAAAAGCGAAAACTTTTAAAAACAGTACTGCACTGCTAGGAAAAGTAGAAAAAAAAAGTGACAGCAAGAGGAATATTCACATTGCATATACAAATCATTGAAATTACAGCACAGAAAGAGGCCATTCGGCCCATTGAGCATCAAGCTGCTTTACCTGAGCTGTATGCTCCAACCCCAATTCCCTGCTCATTCCACATTTCCTTAGATATTCTTATTCTTCAAACATTTATCCAATTCCCTTTTAACTGTTATTGCCTTACTTTCAACAAATACCTCTAACGAAACGTTCCTGGTTTTCTTAACACTGCGTGAAAATATTCCTTTTAACCTCCCTCTTAACTCTTCCAATAATAATCCAGTAATAACCCGTAATAATCTATGTCTATATATTTTTCCAGTTAAGCACCCAGTGGAAACAATCTTTCAATATTTATCATCTCAAACCATTTCTGGATTGTAAAATTTTCCAGTAGACATGTTCGCTAAAAGCACTAAAGTACGTAGTAATTTAAGCTTTCGACCTAATAATGGTAATAATAATAACTTTAAAGTTATCCCCGAAACTGCATGACTTTAAAGCAACTGTTTATTACGAAAAATGTCTAAAAAATCAGAAATGTACTGAATAGCGTTAAAAAACAGCAACAGTGCACATCGTTAGGTTTGAAAACTCACGTATCTGTGTGTGCGGCATGATCCAATGCTGTCATTGAAGCCCATCCAGCGCTGGTAGTCAGGATACTCTCCCCTGGTTAGAACGTACTGGTATCCCATGTAACTGGGTTTCTCATAGATGACCCAACAGCCACTGTCAACGCGGATGGAGTTACAGCGGCTGAAGTAAGACTGCAGGTCGGCACAGTCAGCACTGCACTCATAGCGTCGACCCTGGAAGTTCCTGTCCTCGTAAAAGATGATCTGAAAATAAAAGTTATTTTACCAAGTTAAAAATAAAGCCAAATTGAAAAATAATTACAAAAGAGACTAAGCAAATTAAATGTCAGGTTACCTTTCCCATTCTGATACTAAGGAGATGGCTTCACTAAATACACCATGAGTTTGAGATTGGTGCTTTTTATATATCCCTAAAACCTCTACAGTGGTGATAACGTTTGTTATTTTAATGACCCAACAAATAGCTCTAGTGCTTTTGCTATGAGCTTTGTAGAGATCATCTGACTAAAGGTTTTCAATCTGCTGGTTCTTTCTGTATCTTTCTTGTTTGTAATGTACCCAGTGTTTTTTAGTACGCAAAATGACACAACAGTAAATCCAAATAGTTACCAGTATAAAATATCATAAAGTCATTTTAGATGACTCAAGTTTTACATTGGAGTGACTGAGCCCGTAAACCTGTAGTTTCAACTATGATCAAAAAATCCCCTCTGATAAAATTGGTCATTCACCTCATCACTGTTTGTGGGACATTGATGTGTGCAAATTGGTGGCGACATTTCGCTACAAAATACACACAGTGACAGAATCCTAGAATCCTAGAAATTTACCCCACTGGAGGAAGTCATTCCACCCATCGGGTCTGCATTGGCTCTCGGACCAAGGTTCATTCAATCCCACCGCCATGCCTTATCTGCATATCCCTTCAAGCCCTAGACATTGTCCCAACATAAAAAGCGCTATATAAATGCAAGTTGTTGTTTTCTTGAGGATGAGATTGAGCTGTTGCAGAACATGAGCGAGAATCTGAAAATTGTCGTCAACGTAGAATTGTTCCAACTCTGAACAAACAGAAAGATGTTGACAATACTTGAGGTTGTTACGGTGTGGGAAGATCATAATTATTTCTTTATAAATTTTGTATTGATCAAGAGAATCCAGTGTGAGG